CGTACGTCATCTTGAGATAGTCTGTAAACTCAGAATATAAATACTAATCTGAGCTTGTGATTTCTAACTCGAGATTTTAATCGCATTTGCTGCGATCAGTGCCAAACCGAGAAGTATTACAGAACTACACTCCTGTAGATAACTCACTTAAAAGTGGAGGCCGGCGAGGACACCACAACTGATATAGTTTTTACATACTAACACAATTCAACCATACTATCACAACCACATTGGGTTAGTAGACAATGTAAATAATATTAAACGTTGCCCAATACTAACTTGAAATTCCTAAAATTTGAATATGACGTCATCCTCTCACTTGTCGTCGTATACACACAACAAATGCACGACTAGGCCCTATTGAGGAATGCCACCGATGGAATTTGTATTATTTACAGGAACCCCAACACATGGGCATTATAACAACACAATTAAGATAAGTGTAAATATACGTTAAGAAAAGTCCATTTTAACTAATACATACTCTATCAAAGACATTCCTTGAGATATGTGGTGCCATTTATTGAGTAAATGCGGTTGGGTTGGAATAAGATTACGGCATATCGAAATACAGATAAGGTATACAAAACCAATTTAGTTAAATTAGATCGATTCTATTAAAGGTGGTGTTAGTAGTAGTGAATAGCTTGCCAGCGGTCGTATGACATCACAACAATAAGTAAATGAAGACTAAAATGGTAGAATATATGTGCTGGTTTTGAATTAACTGTGTACATACTAGTATGATCAAATGCGCTTTTATTTTGAGATAAGACTTAAATATTTACATTTCAAAATTCAAAATGAAGTCAACATCTACAGTTAGCAACACTTCTCAACAAGCCACAATTGTTCCTGTGGAGCCAATGGGGACTGCCGCGCCGAAAAAAGAGATAACAAATAACTGCTTCGTCCGATTCTGTCGACAGGTAGGTGAGGAGATAAAGAGACAAGAGAATGCATGCGAAGGAAAGTTATACTGTATTATTCTGTGCCGTATCGTCTCTATGGTTTGGGTAGTGCGGTATCTGGAAGCATTATCGAATGATTATTATCCCACAAACGAAAGTGGGATAAATACATCTATGCCACCAGAAGCGTTCGTCAAAGGAACACACTTGATAGAAACTTGCCTTGGTATTCTTAAAGATACCTATGGCATTGCCGGCGGATCAACCATTCTTGCTTACATTTGTACACTTGGTTGGTCTAGATTCAAAAACAGCTTTGCAGTAACAACATGTGGGTTTGTCATAAGTACGCTTTCGCATATTTTGATTAGGAACTTGATGTTCTATGTTACATCATTTCTTCTTATTTCTACAAGTCCATGGGCATTTATTCTTATACTATTACTCTTCAACATCGTATGGGTAAGCGGGTTTCTATGTATATTGGCTGAGATATGCACAGTGATTAAGAAAAGCAATCTAGCAAATGAAAACAATGTCAACGTGGCCGAGGAGAATCGTTCAGATCCTGAGAACAATCAACCTGAAACTGAGGATTGTGAACTTAGTATCTCAGAAACGATGAGATGTTTGCCGAAAGCGATTAAGTTGATTATGAAGGGGATTATGCTACGCCCGTTATTATTGGGGCTATTGGGCGTGCTAACAACATTGATACTCATAATTGAGTATAATACAGTGCTTATTTGGTGTTATACAGAAGCAGTAGGTCCTAAATATCTTCCCTTAGGTCTTCTCTAGTCGATTGTTTAATGCCTAATGCACTCAAGCCATATAGGTATGAGAACTGAACTCGACTTTTATGCAGGATACTTCTTTGAACTGATTTGCAAGGAGGCTTGTTTTTGACAGTTGGCCTTTGAGATATTTGTTTTTGACCGTTGGTTTTTGAGATATTTTGAGATATCAAGGTCTTAAGGCAGTCACAACTAATCTTAAATAAAGGAACTTTGTATAAGTCTGAGCATCAAATAAACCATATGGTTCTGGGCATGTATTAACATCAAATTATATATCATTATTTGTTATATTGCCATTAGCAGATAAGATACAATAGATGGCAAACTAAAAACACTCAACTATCTGTTTTTGGATAAAGTACTTCCATCTTTGAGCATTAGAGTAGTGTAAACTAAATGCAATTGTATTGCCGTCCCGTCACCACCACTCTTTCTTCTCACAAGGCCCTTTCTTGGTTGACTGATGTCGTGTCCTGGGGATGGGATGGTGCCTTTCACCCATACATATTCAACTAAAGACCAATTTTGAAATGGGCTGTGGGAGAATTTATTCAACTCTGCTTCTTCAGGTTAGTATTGGGTTAGTATAGCTTATGTTCTCTTTATCGTACGCCATCTTGAGATACTTCGCAAACTCCGATTATATTTATGTAATGTTGCACGCCAGTTTTGCAACTCGCCGAACTTGAAATTTCAAAACTATTTGCAGAAAGCGAAGCTCGTCACTTTCTGGCCCGAAATTGCGGATTCCGAGGCTGGCGAGGCAGAATACAATAAAGATGCTTTATTTGAAAATCTAACAACTACTAGTTTAAAATATACACGGACATACTATACTAACTCGAATTCGCACTATTTTGCGAATGTTTTGAAAGTGGCTATCAACCTAAAAGAGAGATAGACACCTTCAGGTCTTTCGCTCTCTTCCTTGCTTATCTGAAAGTGCTTTAAAGTAACAAAATCTCCTTTTATAGTCTAATTCTTATCTCTTATCATATTCTATGATATAAACAGATCTAGTATACTCGTTGAAAAGAGGCCTTTATTTGCACTACCCAATACTAACCCAATTCTTAGCAATATGTTGTTCGGATCGATATTTAGCAATAATTCATCTTGATC